GACTCAGACTGTTCCTAGCAGCGGCTGTCGCTCATGCGTCCCCTTTCCTTCTAATTTTCTCTTTTTTTTAAAGAAAAAGATTAATGCGGTGAAGTGGCACTCTCCTAAGTGCCAAGCTACGCTGGATCAGACCTCTTAGTCCTCTTCCTTGCCCCCTCGTTGTGCCTGTGGCCAAAGTGAAGGGCAGCAAGGGCAGTTCAGGGGGAAGCTGGCGTGTTTTGTAATCCTGCTGTATTTAGAGTCCCTGCAGCTCGTTGTCAGCATCGCTGGGGGTTCAGAGACGCAGGTGTCCCTGCTCGGAGTGATTTTCAGGCAGATGCTGGCAGTGAGGAGGCATCACGAGCCCCAGCTGATGGCCTTGCACGTCCTGCCCAGAGGCAGCAGAGAGGAGAGAGGCGAGGTTCCCTGGAGAAAATGGTCCAAGCGGTGTTGGATGCAGACTGGCACTTAGGAGGTGGTAAGGTCTTCCCCAGGGCCAGGAGTGGGGGCAGAGTACTTTGTTTGTCTTGATTTGGGGAGCTGTAGTGTCTCTTTTTGGTAGTGTGGGTTATTATCTTCGTTTTGGTGATAAAATGCAGTTCATTTGCTCTTAAAAAGCTGAGGCAGCTTGTCTGGGCTGGAAGGTAGAAAGCCTACCCTGCTGTTCACTGCTTGAGCAATATTGGGCTTTAGGCTGGAGTGATTCCCAAAAAAGTGCTGCTGATGGTGTGGATACGTGAAAAACGTGTGCGGCACTGATACGTGAGGGAGCTGTGCCTGCAAGACCTGAGTCTTGACCTCATCACTACTGGTGTTTCTGATCCCAGCCCTTTGCTGAGTAGGAGAGGTGGTGTTGGGTGGCGATGCAGTGTGCTTTTCGAGTGAATTAGATAACAGTATTATGTTTTGGATGATGCAGAAAGCTACTGCTTCAGCAAAAAGAAGGGATGGCTAGTATTTTGGTGCAAAGGCCCTTATTTGGAGTCTTGCTGTGGAACAGTGGTGTGATGAGATAGGCATGGGCAACACATTTCTATGTTGCTTGATTAGGTTTTTGGACTTTAGGATGAGATTCCTGTGAGTTCTGGAAAGCAATTACTGCTTCTAGATTGGAAGTAGCCAAGGTGCTGCCCGCAGACTGCAGGTTTTCTATACAAATCTCCAAAAAATAATGAGCTGGAGAGATTTTCTTCCATTTTCTGCAAAAACTGAGAGGGACGAGGCTGATCTGTGAGTTTTATTGTTGATCGATTCACAGCATTTTCTGCTTGCCTGTGAAGGGTGGGGGGTTTAAGAAGACATGGTGTTTTCTTTATTGGAAGTGAAGGATATTTACATGGGCTCCTAGGAGCTACTGACATTCCCCGCTTTGAATATAGATTTTGTGCACCTCTGTTTTATTCTGTGATGTAGGATTTAATGGGAACCCCTCCTACGTGTAGCAGGAAAATAAAAATTGATGTGTTAGATCAGTCTGACTGTTCATCTTGTCCAGTATCTAATCTCTGATAGTGGAATTACCAGATGCTTCAGGTTGAAGAACTCCTACTAAGGAGAACTATGAAATAATCTGTCCATCTGGTACGTTCAGTCTTCTCAATTCTCTCTTTTCAATCCTATCTAATATAAACGTGGAGTTCTCATTATCTCTTTAGAAGTCAGTTCCTTTCTGGAATCCTGCTAAACTCTGATTCAGTGGCATTTTATGGCATTATGGGATTAAGGAGTAGATTTAAGAAAAATAATACCCACAACTTTTAGGACTGTTGCATCGTTGGGTGAAGATGACATATTTCTGCTGCTGCGAATCTCTCAGCAGCTGTTCTCGTGCAGGCGAGCTTCAGGAAACTAAAGCGAAGGGGAAAAAAGTGTCATAAGCAGCTTTCACAGCTTGATTTTCAGAGGTTTTGAGGGCTTCCTAGCCGGGACACCCTACCCCCTCCTCTTCCCTGCCTTGTGGGCCCTGCATGCGGGTCAGGCAGAGCATCGAAAAACGCTGGGGTTGTGTGCGAGGAGCTTGATCTGCTTTTGTATTTTTGCAGCACGCCCCTGGTAACAGGTTTGTGTTCACTAGCTGGACCGCACGGCCTTAGAGCGGTGTCCTGGGCAGAGCTACACCGTCACCTGGAAGCCGCTGCGACAGATGAAACAGTTACATAGCACTGACACGGTTTTAATTTTTCCCAGTGGCATGTTTGGGGGTTGAGTCAGAGTCATTACACTCAAGTGTCTCAAGCGGCTGAATCACCCGTTTATTTCTGTAGCTGCCTTCCATGGGAGCAATTGGGCTTTTTAGCACCATCTGGCTATAGCTGGTTTTATTACTGGAGACTTCTGCGTCGCAGCTAGTTGGAAGTCTTGCTCTGGGGTAGAGTGGAAGAGACAGAGAGTTTCAAAGAAGATTTTGGGTTGTTCTTTGACAACTTGCTGAACTTACGGGGACCAGATCTGTTGGTGCCTTGATTTTGATTGGAAGTGGTCTGTGTGTGGCCTTTGGGGGCTCTGAGCGTGTGCGTCCTGGGTGCTAGAACATGCTCTGGAGTGGAGGGAGCCAGCTGTAGCAGAAGGCACTGCTCCCTTTGGGTCTCTCACCATGCCTGGAGAGCCCCTTGCCCTCTGCCATGGGTCTGCCTTTGGGTCCCTGCCCTCACTCAGATTACTGGGGTGTTGCAGGGACAAAGAATTGGATTTTGGTTTTATAATCAAAGCTGAATCCATCTTTGGAAAGTCATGAATGTGCGTGCGACTTAGATACATCAAGACTGTCCAGGAGGATGGGCCTTGGAGACCCATGATTCAGTCTCCTGCCCATGAGACCACACCTGCCTTCACACCTCTCTTGTGCTGGACCCAAGATGTCCTCATCCAGTGCTGGACGCTGCCTGCATCTGCTCTC